AGATTGGATTGCCCTGTTCGAAATGCAAAAATTGATTGGATATAGATCGTCATATTAGTTTATCTCCATTGGATTCTCAGATATTCATTCCTGACTTCTTTGGTGAAACTGAATAATAGTTAAGTTCCATTTGCTCAAATTTGTTTATTATCCATATTTTAATCAGTGGAATTAGTAAAATTTTCACCTCGTTCAAAAAGTAAGAAAATTGTTGCAGTTACGTATAGATAATGACTGAAATAAGGGAAATTAAAAAAGGTTTTTCCTATTGGTACATCTTTACCAGTAAAATTTTTAATAGCAATATATTTCAAATAATTTCTTTCACATTTTTAAAAATTTAATTCATATTAGAATATAGATATAAAACAAATAAAGTTATAGGTCAGGAGTGAATTTGTCAAAAATTCAGTTGCTAAACACTGAGTTTTTCGAAATATTTTTCAACCAAATGAAGTCCATTTTGTAAAAGAATTAATTAATTAATAAAAATACCCATAAACAGTAATAAACTCCTTATTTGTATCCAACAAAGTCTAAAGTTAGATAAATGAAAGTACAATTATACACACAAACATAGGCATTTAAATCAATTGCCGACTGTAGACCGAGTATTGTAATCAACTACAGCAACAATTTTAATTAATTCGATGTATGAAAATGTGTGTGGCATTCGTTCGCTTTTATACAAGGGACGTGCGAAAACTGAAAGCGAGAAATACATTATTGACCTGCACACAATCAATACCTACGTAACAGGAAAATGTAAAAATGAAACCAAAAATGTTGTGCCTATATATAAGGGAGAACATTGAACTGCGAATTACGAAATAGATTGGAAATTTTGAGGAAGTAGATCAAATTCTCATTATAAAACACGACAAACTTAATTTTGAGGAGACTCAATCCTCATTACGTCAATACCAAGACCTAATGAGCTAGAAACCATTTACATTATTCAAAATCAGATCAAAATAACGGAAATTACTTAATGAATGAAAACGCCTGGTTATCTATTACAGTTTGGAGGCTCTTTGCCTCTAAATCGTGGGATATTTTCCAATTTAGCGTCAACTTAAAATAATTTATCACTTATCTATTATTGGTAGCAACTACATAACCCTTTACCACTGCATTGCATATTAAGAAGAGAACTGTCCCTTATTTTTTGAATGATGGTTCAAGGTTAGAGAGACCACCATGACAAGTACCATCACGTACTTACTCCACACATACACACACATATATATATGCACGCTTATACATATGTGCATCGTCTGGTTTGGTATTTCGCGGCGCAGGGCCAGGCAATGGCCTATAAAACGGCAAAGCTGAGAAGAAGTTTCAGCCGCTAAAACAATACTCCCACATGGTATTGCGGTGCGGCGGTTTATAGATTTGCAAAAAGTGTACACCTATTCTTCTCCTGAGATTCCTTGATGCCAATTACGTTTTATGAATGCCCTTACTACCCGCGAAATGCCGTTCATTCTCAGTCGAGTCGGAAAACCTGCTGCCGCATACCTACACTTTGGCTCCGGCTCGAAGGACCACAAAATGCGTCTTCGCCACCAAACCGTTCCCATGCAAAATCATTCAAATTTAAACACTCAATTTCCTTAAAAATGATACAGAATAACACAATTAGAGATGCACCGCATAGTGATTTTGCCGGGTATCGGATAGCTATAGAAATTGTAACAGAAAATGTAAACGCAAAAGATCTATATCGAAATAAGAAATAGTATTGTAATTGATAAATCCTATCCCAATATAATCTTAATTACCTATCATTATTAGGTAGGTTTTGTTGTTATACATATTGCATTATTATATCTGGTAGAATTATCCGGTGCTACTATCCAGTGCCCGGCTGGATCCAAAGAATAGTGTCAGATCTGCCGGTAATTCAGATCATTGCTAGATATTTGGATATCTTTCTAATAGTAACCGTTCTACGTCGTCTATTATATGCATGGATTTATATCAAGGGGGAACAGTAAAAAAATCTGGCACAATTCTGGTTTATTAGGACGAATTCATCCTGGAGTTAAAGCCCATGTAACTGACGGTGTGATTCATAATATTAAAAGCGAATCGGTTGAACGTATAAATAAAGAGACGATTTAACATTCACGAGGTTTCTTCGGCCATCCGGCATAGTTGCCCGGCCATGACTTCTTCTTTCCATCACAAGCCTGTTTACTTTTACACGGGTAAAACATTTCGGCTATGTGCGTTTTCATAATATATAAAACAAATATCGCGACCCAATAGGTCTCTATATTTCCACTCATCCACCAACTAAGGTTTCCTTATGAATCGCCAACATGGCGTGTGTACGCAACTTCTTGTCCAAATAATGGCGAACGTAATATATCCCATCCGGTCTACTCAAATATTCAATTGCTTGAGAAAGGATAAAAAAATGAGAAAACTACAATTTAAAAAATATAATTAATTGATCAATCAGATTATGTTTTCATTGCTGCAAGGGCAACAGGAGGAAATTGTCGATTTACTAATCATTTTTTTGTAAAATCTTTTAAGAAACTTTTACGAGTGATTAATATTTAATTACCATCTGATTTTTATTCACTCCAAATTAACTCAAATTCATTAGGAAAAAATGTTTAATACCCCGAAGGCGCCATTGTCATGCTCGGTTAGGGACTATTAGACGGGATGACATTAAAACCTGTAAAGCTATTATTAATACATATTACTGACCGTTTTCTTGTTCTCGAGCGCGCCAACAAATTAACGGCAAATCGGACAGCAGCTCTGTTTTCTTTTTTCAAAAAAAAAATATTAAAAAGACCAATAGAGTTATAAATATGTTATTAATGGTGAACGTAATTTTTCCAATTAAGCGGCTGGCTTAGTTGGCCTGATGGCTTGACCGTGTATATTAATAATTTTATGTGCACAATTATGTAGAAAAAACTGTAGCAGCTTCGCGTAATTGGCCGACGACATGAAATAATGTTAAACGCTGATTGCTCTTACTTGTCAAATACGTATGTGTGTTTACCGCCAATCGAATGAATGAATGAATGAATGAAGGTAAACATGGAGAATGCTTTTTCTGAAACATGTTAACAAAACCAGTAAATTGTCTTAGGAATTTTTTTCACGGGTTTCTAAACAAGCTGTGTGGTGTTGTGACACCCGGTAGGAACGAAGAAGGAAGAAGAATATTTTTGGTGAAGATATTTTTGGAGTAAGAGTACAAGAATCAACAATTAACTTACTACTGAATGAAACAATTCTCTTTTACAAAGGGAATTATTGTTAGATTCAGTTTAGTAGATATGGTATTAAATGGTGAAAGAATGTGCCGCCGTCAAATATTTACATAAATGGTACATGTACACATGTATGGTGGAAGAATTGGTAGGTCTTCACCCTGTCATCAAGACCATCGGTGGCTGCAAGCGGCAATATTTGTTCGTAACTAATGGTACGGAATGCGCTAGGCATATTTGTAGACACCCTAGAGTGGTCGGTAGGTCAATATGATAATAAGTACATGCTACATGTAAAGACGTGTTCAAATACGGCACGACACCCCGAAATAGAAGACGGAATCTTTTTTAGTTTTTTTTAAGACTTTTCACACAGGAAACGTAAAAGGCTGCCTGTTCGATTACGACAGGAATTGTGCCACAGGATTTGGCGCTCACTTTAATACTCGATCTCTTCAATTTCGTTACAAGCAGTTTCTATTATAAGTAGTAGTAAGCAAAGTAGTTTTAATTTTTTTTCGATGTCGAATTTTTGAAATGTGGAAATCTGTCGTCGACAAGTATAAAACACAACTTTTCGTATTTTATGTCGATACAGCCGACACAACAACACAGAGAAAAATCCATTCATCAGGCAGGTAGTACCTCCAACTAAAAAGAGCCCAGTACGTAATACCGATGGGAAAGAAGCTTTTAATCACGTTGCCCAATCGAAATAAATGTTAACATGACATTTCCTAAAATGAATTACTCTTATACAAACTACTAACCCCCTCGGTACAAGAAAAACATAAACATTGGTATCGATGCTGTGTTTTCTTCCGGGCTTTTTGGCCGTGGCCCGTGGAATCTTGCTTTCACAGACGTTTCGCCGTTCTTTGCTGACGGCATCTTCATTGGTGACTGGGCAGGTGCTGAGTCATGATCATCAGTTACGAAAGCAAGATTCCACGGACCACGGCCAAAAAGCCCGGAAGAAAATACAGCATCGATAGACGCCGGTCGTGAAAGCCTAAAAACTACATAAACATTGGTATATAAAACGCGTAAGCAATTTTACTTAAAAGATTAAAGACTTAAAAAGACTTAATATAAAATGAAAACTATTGCCAGATCTGAGATCATCGATTAAGCTCCATACTGCCCTTAAACACCCATGAGAAGTTAAGAATAAGAATACAAAACCCGTCTGGTTCATTTTTAGTTTAGTAATTAGTCTAGCTTACGAAAGTACGAGGAGTCAATTTTTCTGAGGGTTTATTCGGCTTTCTATTCCTTGCTTATAGGTAATATCAGTGTATATAAGTGTGCATCATGTTCAATAAGCACATAAATAAACCTTATTATTATGTTAGGAATGATACTAAAAATTATCTAATCTGGTGTAACGGTCGGAGGAATTGGCAAACGTGTTTTAGAAACAAGAATTGAGTCGAGCATTTGGGGCCACAATTAGGTTGATTCTCTACTCCGTCTGGACCTACGTCTGTCTATACATATGTATAATACAATATTTAAAACGTACGTAATAAGTTCGAGTTGGAGCAACATTTCTTCCTATTATTCTTCACAATCATCATCGTCATCATACAATACATACACATTCTTACATACATACATACATAAAATAAAAGCAGAGCATGCAAAACAAAATCCTTGAATAAAGTACCTCGACCACTCACCGAGATCTAATAACGTTGTTAAGCTCCCAAATGTAAAACTGAGATAACTATTATGATATGAACAACTTACCTCGCGCACAGAGAGATATGAGCGTCTTCGCATGACTATTTACAATATCATAATTGATTCCTACGGATTCGACGGGTAACCTCCACAAAATATGCCTCAGGAAGTCCTGGGGTGTTACAGCTGCAACGTCCCATTTTAATTTGCTTAAGACTAGAATTTCCCACTTCTGAAACAAATAAATATAAACGGTAATACTACTGTCTCTTATAATTAAACTGTTCATTTAATTAATTAATATATCAACAAGTTTTCATATTTAAGCGATTTAAAAGATATTTTAACGAAATAATAAAATTGTCAGAAAGATGTTTTCGTTTTGCAATTAACTAGCAGAGATCTCTCTATTCTTATAAGACAATATTTTGGAACTAATTGAATTTTACATTTGTAACTTCTAAAGAAGCCATAATGATCAAGTTAACAACAGGGTTGTGGAAATTGCAAGTGTTCTAATACTACAAATGAATTTCCATCAAGTAAAACTAGTGCGTGTTCATGTATCGCAAGGGTGACCTGCCTATAGTTGGAACGGTCAAAACTGGCATACTCAGCAATAAAATTGTCGCAGTTACTTTTTTCTTTCAACTTACTAACTAGACTAGAGCGTTTGTTGACAGAACGCCTACTTTTACTCACGACATAGAAAAGAGATGTCAGGTAGGAATTGCAGCGGACAGTAATGAAGAAAAAGAAATAACATTACACCACTTAATATGCAACAGAAAGAGATACAGACAAGCACAATTTGAACATGTTACCTGCGTCGGACCTTAAAGAAAATTCAACATTTTTAGGAATTCCAACCAGGCAGTTATAAAGTCGACTCTGATCTTTTATGTACCAAAACAAACTGTAACCGCTGTATCGCTTACTATTATTCGGTTATCTCTGTACTACTCATAAAGCATTTCCTAATTTAACAAGGGCGTTTTGGGAACGCTGCAAATGACTACAGTCCCAAGTAGAAGCAAGAAAGAAGGTACGTCCATTCTCACAGTTAATTTATTACGGACTTTGCCAATTCTGATGGTCCCAACTGTATCTATTATGTTTAACGGACACGCTGGACAGGTCTTTATTACTGTGGAATTTATAAGTGGGACATTATTGGCCTTCTCTTGAAAAAACCGAGGGGTTGTTGAGTGAACCTGTGAAATGTACCTGTTACATTCCTGGCGGATTTAAGAGAAACCACCCCCCATGTTTTCTCAATATTAACAGGTAGTTCGGTCGGAGGTCGCATTCATGCACTGCTTCTTCCGAGAACGACGAAATCGGATCCTTTGACTTCTATACGGCGCTTTTGTACGAGGGTGCGCACATTTCAAGTTTGTGACATTATAATAGAGGCAACAATAGCGAACCGAATACACTGCAGGTTATTTTCCATTGTTAAATTGTATCTGTACGTCAGAAACTGGCGCCGACTATTTTCGCCAAAAAATTGACATCAATAAACAATAACGTGCATCACTTCTAAATACGAATGTATTATTAAATATTATACATATGTATGCCTATATACAGGCGCCAGTCAGATAATTTTTCAGTTTTCCTCTTGAATAGCTATACGTAATATGTATCGAATCTTATCTCATTTAGAAATAGCGCTAATTATGCACGTTATGTATATGTATGCAATTAGTCAGACGTGTTAGGTTTAATTAAATGACAAACATTTAAATCATCGTCATGTCGTGTTTCTTGGTAGCAAGAAGAACTTCCGGAACAAAGCGACCATATGAAATGTATTTATTGTTAATAATTTTTGTGACATGTTAAAGAACACGAAAAGAAATGAACAAATCTGATAACTGATAACATGCCAAATAAGACAAATAAGAAATGGAGTTTAACATGTTTGGTTAGGGTAGGTTAGGTTTCTCAGTGTGTTAATTAATAACTTCTAATATAAATTATACTTCGAACAAGAATTAGTTCCTTCCAATACATATAATAATTAGATTTGTATAAAACGAAGAAAATTGATCCAGGTAAACTTCTGCAAACTGTATTATTTTCACGATTTAGTGCGCAGTTTCAAAAATTCTAGGGCATGCTTTTGGCCTACGCGTCCGGCAATATATACAAACAGAAATTAATAATAGGACACCCTTTATTTGAGCAACGGGTTGTAAAGGAGATAGGGAAACTTCAAGTACAGTATCGAGAAAAGTTAAAAACTTGCATATTTAGATTTTATAGTTTCTAATCCTCCAAATTTTTTAGAAAATATAAAAGAAACAGCAAATAACGAGGCCTATTACTATATATGCTAAATATTAAATTTTTAGGACTAACCATTTTTAAGAATAGGGAAGAGACTGTAGCAGTGAATGATCTTATAGAAATGCTCCTAACCCTTTTGATATACATACGAAAGTGTAGAAACGAACTAGAAGCAAATTAATTTTATAAAACTACACATAAAAACGACTTGCAAACATGTACTTCATTATCATAACACTGCTTTTAAACGTAACGTTATAAGAAGCAACATGCAAAATCTTAAAATTTTCCATCCGCGATTGTCGGTTAAAACGGCAAATGAACTTTTCTTACTCGACGGCTTTTTCTCAATCTTACAAAGTAATATGCGTACAAGAAACGCGGCATAACCAATACTCCGCTGAATTTTGATAAATTTGATTCGTCGAAAGAAAGAGAGAAAGAAAAGCATCATCGTGTAACCACCGATATTTCTATACCGTACTACACACCACCGTCCATCGAACAGCAATAAGTGGATGATGGGATGATATTATTGACGAAGCAGAGAGTGAACGAGGACTCCAGTTTTTGCGGCGAGGACGAACAAGATAGAATAAGAATAAGAAGAAAATAACGAAGAAGACGAAGAAGAAGAAGGGATGAAGGTCGGGTCTTCGTTCGATGGCTTGCACGGAATGTCCATTAGTGGAAGACCAGTCCAGCCTGTTATTCAGCAGATTCATTAAAAGCCGCTATCGACAAATCAAATTAGTGAAATTAAACGACACTCGTCCAGACGTTTCTACCATTCAGTGATGCTTTCTAACCAGCAATCTTCTATCATCTATCGTTTAGTTTAGTACTCATTCACAAACTCTGCTCGTAAACCTCAAAATCTTACATTTCCACACCGTTTCATGATCATAATCTTTATGAATTTCTTCCGCTAACTTATCGAACAAATTTATTGATCGATTCCTGTGGCGCCATTGACGCTTTGGCTTCCATCGTCACAGAAAAACCTTATCTTTAACTGATAATCGTTAAAATAAGTTTACTATGCACCTATTCGTTAAAACTGATTCCTGAATCCATCTGAACATAGAGTCATTCATAATCATTCTTTCTAAATAAAAGAGGTAAATCCACTACCTTATTTTAAGCCAAAAAAGATGAATTATTCAAAAACTGTGAGTAATATAATTAACTCACATGAGTAGAAGTCAAAAAAATTGCGGAAATTGTCTCAAACGCATCGGAAAATTTCGGAATAATTCTGCTGCAATTTCAAATGGAATCATATAAATATATTGTTTAAAGTGGTCTCAGAAATAAAAGTCCAAATGATTAAGATCTAGTATTCTAATATTGTAAATTTTTAATAACTTTTATTTCGAAAACGAAAACATTCGAAAAATTTTGTACTACATTTTCGTAAGGACTCAATACTATTTTGTCAGGAAAGTGAACATACACCATATTATACCAGAAATTTTGTATTGCAAATGTCATGGACGAATCATGGGCCTGCTATTTAAAGAGAAAATTTACTACTTTCTTAAAAAGTTAACCCAATAAGTTTATAAATGTCTAATAATTGTATAATGATACCAAAAAACACAAAACCGTAAACGAAAATCGACAAAAGAAAACAGAAGCAAGAATTACAAAATTAATTACTTCTTGTTTAATTAAGTATTGCAAGTGGCAAATCAATTTCTACTTTAGCGTCGTGTTCCTTATAGAGATATTAAAGCGAAGAGAATTCTAAGGGACGTTATCAGTTTTCTTGGGAACTTATTGCGAGGCTATGTTTCGCTTTTCAAATATTATAAAACTCTGTTCCAGTAAAATTGTGGAATAGGTTAACGAACTACGACAATTAACATTTTATTTTATGTGTTATCTGTCGGTTTAAAGCAATAATTTCAGCAGTTCATAATGTTAATGAAACTGCACAAGGATCCGAATAATAAAATTTATCTGTTATTAGTTTTAATTATTGTTTTATTTCTATTTCTCTACAATATAATAATATAATTGTTTCATGTCGTAATACGTGCAGGAAATATATTCACTTATTTACTTACTAAATTCTGATGAAATTTAAAAAAATTATCGTTAAAGGAAGTAGACATTGCATGCAAGAACTAGAGTGAAAAATTTTACTTATCCATTCTGAAATTTTAACAACGTGCATATATAATCATTTCTTATGAACGACCATCACCATCGTAGTGAAATTGTAAGGTTTCAGCAGATACAATGTATTACATCAACGGTATTGAAAAGATTTGCAATTTAGTAAATTTAATCATAAAACTGAAATTAAATAAGCAACACGACGTAAGTACCTATCTAAATCAGTTAAGTGTTAACCATAGTGATGAAAGTATTTTATAAGAAAATAATTGGCTAAAATATCGTAATTATAAAGAATATTCTTAAGGGGCATTTAATAGCCCCTATACTGTAATATTAATTTGATAGGCAATTGAGGGTCATTTATATGTTTTATGTCGAAAACGGCTATACCATAGTGCAATACAATGTTGTAAACTGCTAAATAAACACTTGTAAATTAACTCCGTTAAGTATCGATGTGTATCTAAGTATTGCAAATTATTATCATTTCCTTTTTCTTTTTCTTCTTGCAACCCCTACATGGAAGTTCCCAAACCAGGTAGATTATTTATATATGCATGGTCTTCAAACATTGACTAATAAACCAGTTAAAGTCGATCAAATTCATTATTAGAGGTACAACCGTAAATAACTACTGCGAACTAAACAAATCAGTATCGTAAAACACAAAAGTGGATAAAGTCTATAATCGCAAGAGAAATCAATTATTTATCTGTTTTCTCCGTACGGCCTGACCGAATGCATGACCACCAGAACTTTTACCGATACAGTTTAGTACGTAGATTATTGCAATCACTTATTAACGCACAA